CGTACCAGCCTGTCTCGTTCCTCTAAGCGCACAAAAATACATTCTGTAAATTATTCCTTTCAGAATTGTTATAATTACTGTAATGTATTGAAGAAACGCTCAGGGATCTGCTATTTCCAGCAGAGAAATGGACCCAAAGCTAATTAAAATTCTACAGTTGCTCCCTGGGAAAATCTGAGCTCTTGCTTGATTCACCTTCCCACAGGGTCTCCAAATAGAAACCCGTCACATACGTGTCAGGCAGCCTTAACCATCTGTTTGAGAAATTCCAAGACACCACCCGAGCCTTCTTTAGTGCCTATCTCAACCTCAGGAAACCAGGTACGTTCCAGAACTTGAGACCATGGCACAAACAGATGCTCATTTTCTAAAAACAAAATCAGCTTGTTGAACTAATGAGCTAGTTACCCTGTGTCCTGAGCTCAGAATAGCAAATGAAAGAAGAAATAGACGGAAGCTATTCCGGCTGCATGTTACATAAAAGCCACGTCAAGGTGTGATGAATAATGCATTAGCGATTCCTTGATTTTTATTGTGTGCCAGTGTGAGAATGCGGTCTGTGCCTAGAGGTTTCAGTAATAATCACAACAATAATGACAGCGCTTAGACATCACTCATCCCGGTAACAACGTGATGGGGACAGCGTTTCCCACATCTTACAGATGGAGAGACTGAGGCTCGGGGATGGGCTAGAGGCACAGCAGGAACCCAGCTCTGTGTCACGTGACTGTGCACCCCCAAGGCCGGCCGCTCAGCCCTCTGCTCTCAGATGCATGTGCCCCCTTCTCCTGGTACCTCTGGAGGCTGGGGAGGTGGGTCAGGAGGACTCAGCAAGGCAACGTGACAAGGAGAGGAGGTCTTACTGGTCTAAGCTGGTTGTGTCTTTCTGGAAGCTTCCAGACACTCTAGCTCCTCTGCTGACAGTGTGGCTTGCATGCACTAAACCTTGGCTTTTACTGACAATGGAAAAAACAAAAGTGGAACAGCAGCAAATTTTTTTCCTGACTGTTGTGATCAGCTGATTGGACATGACCTGAGTTTCAGAGAGAAATTCCACTTGACAAAAAGCAAATTGAAACAGACAAAACTACAGGAAGTCTCTAGACTGGGTAGGAACAGCCTGTCTCTTGCTCATTCGGTCATTCGTCCTCATCACTGTTTTCTGGGTAAAGTTCTGTCCATGCCGAGGCTGGGGTTTTAGGATTCTGTAAGGCCTCTCCCCTTGAGAACCTCAGCTGCTAACCTGAGTGGCTGTGAAGATGTTCTGAACACCTGTCCTGTACCAGGCACTCACGATCCAAAGATGAGTGAGAGGCGGCGGTTCCTGCCCAACAGGAGCTGGCAGCCTGGCCTGGGGACCGGCGGGTGAGCACACGCAGGCACACCGCCTCGCACTGTGCTTTGCGGATGTCGCGTTTTTGACAGATTGAAGGTTTGCGGCAACCCTGTGTTGAGTAAGCCTATTAGTGCCATTTTCCCAACAGCATTTGCTCACTTCACGTCTTTGTGTCATATTTTGATAATTCTCACAATATTTCAAACCCTCCACCACCAAAAAGATGACACTTTGCTGAAGGCTTAGATGATGGTTAGCATTTTTTAGCAAGAAAGTATTTTTAAATTAAGGCATGTACATTGGTTTTTTTTTTCTGTTTTTAGCCAGAATGCCGTTGCACACTTAATAGAGTATTGTATAAACAGAACTATCATATGCACTGGGAAACTGAAAAATTCCTGTGACTTGCTTTAGTGCGATATTTGCTTTATTGCTGTGGTCTGGAACCAAACTCACAAAATCTTGGAGGTCTGCTGATAATAAAAACACAGCAGGGCAAATGCTATGAAACCAGGATGTATGAAGTGTAAGTGAGTTGAGAACTAAATGCACACTTCCAAGCAAAATTTCCTAGTTATGGTGAGCCAGATGGGGATACAAGTTTAGAAATAGGATTAGCTGGGGAGCAGGTACTGGCTCTGGTTGGAGCTGAGACAACACAGACCAGGCACCTGGGCCACTGGCACCGTTACTGAGGCCACGGGGCCACTGGAGAGGCTGGCTCAGGACTTCATTTGGAACAATAGTTTTTAAAGCCATGATTCACCCATGGATAGAATCAGCTGTAATCACTGGCTAGTAAATATGTATCAGCAATACTGAACTGGAAGTGGAGAAATGGGCCAGGCATCAGAAAGTAACTTCAAGGGATGAGGGCCATGGACTCTCTCTCCATCAGGGGCAAAACTGGGAACTGCAATTTCGAGGCAGGAAAGAAAAATGGGTGTGGACCAGGGAAGGACCCAGAGTTCCAGGGCACAGAGAATGGACATAACATTTGTCCCAGGGCCACAGGCAAATCGAGGGAAAAGGATCAAAGGGACCCGACCAGACCATCGTTCATGGTGCACCAGCCTGAACCCGCCCCAACCTGAGAGCGGTATCCCCTGGGTCCAGCATCCTGCTCAGCCAGGATGGGGGACTCAGTATGCTTGTCTGAGAGAGAGTGTGGGAAAAGGAGGAGATTGGAGACGACGCCACATCTTGGGGAGACCCGGGAGAGGGAAAGGCGGCCAGGCCATGGGGTGGTGAGGACGACAGGGAACTGGTAGGCTGACTCCGTGAGGATTGTGGGCAAGTGGGAAGAAAGGTCGGAGTGGGTGGCTAGGCTTTATGAAGGCAGGAATGATGCTTTAGTTTTGAGAAGTGGGAGAACAGGTTCTTTCCATAAGACCACCACCCACTCCCCCAGGGCTGCACAGGAGGCGCAAGCGGTGGAAAGGGTCCTCTGCCTTCAGTGGGAAGGTGGCTGTTGTATACCGACCCTCACGCAGTGACAGCGACCCCACGGTGCCAGGGGTCTGACTTGGTCCCCTATCACTCCCATATTTCACAGTAGTCCTCCAGGACACAGTTCTTGAATTCTCATCTTGACTTCAGTACAAAAAAAAAAAAAGAAACTGACACAGCTGAAAAGTTAAATATGAAATATACTATGAGTTTAGGAGGAATATTCTCTGTAGTTGGGGAGACTCAAGAAGTTTCTTCCTGTGGCCGCTTCTCCACTGAGACCAAGTCCTCATCTACCTGCTTACAGAAGCTCTAGGCAGGTACCCAGTGGTAGGGAGGGGTCTGTGGCCCAGGGTCCTGGTCCATTTCTCAGCCTGGGCAAACCTCCAACACCCACAGGGCCACTAGAAACTGCTGCCCACTAGAAATTTTCTTTTTTCATGGTACATTCATTTTTCATTTGTTCGAGTATTTAAAACTGTCTACTGCACGCCAAGCACTATGCTAGACACAGATGCTACAAAAATAAGATCCTTAGGGAGCTTCAGCTAAGTAGATTTATAACAGTGCGATGTCATAGGCACTCCAGCAGCAAGGAACTCCTGCAACAGTGCCTCGCCGGAAGGCACGTTTCTGGTGACTTCCTACAGCAATCCCCAAAGAAGTGTCACACGCCTTCCCTGTGAATGGCAGCAGCCCGCTCACACTCAGGAAGTCCTCGGGGGCCTAGCAATGCCCTAGGCAGGAAAGACAGAATCCCACGAAGGCCCGAACTCTTTATAACAAGACACCCAAGCGCCCATTACTGCAAGCGGTATCAATAAACCACTACTCTACAAAACCAGAGAGTTTAGAGTTTACTTTGGAGGCGCCTATTAAAGAAACTTGGCCTCCAAATCCTTGCCTGATCTCTAAGCCAGTCTCTGTCCCTGGGCTTCCCTTGGCTTCAGTGCTTGGATCCCCGAGTGCTGCGATAGTACAGGGTGGGTGGAGGTCGGGAGGTGTCTGCAGGAACTCAGGGACGCAAGGCACCATCTGTAAGCAGACACTCATCTTTGGCTCGGCAAACCCTCAGCCTCTTTCTCTGTTCTGCAGTCCTGAAGGTGCCCCGCTGCGGGCCCTCTGCCTCTCCCACCTCTCCAAGGCAGACTGAACGCACCCCGGTTTTACTGACGTGCCCACTCTAAGTTATTCAAACTGATGGGGGTGCCCAGATGTGGAAAACAATGAAAATGGGCTTGTAAGTGACTCTTAATACATGGACAGCAGAAAATTGTCATAGAAAGAGTATGCCGTTGGGATCCACTTGGGAAAACCAGAAGACTGGGTGTTACCAACATTTAAAGCACGCCCAATTTGAGTGATACTTAGTGTTGGCTAAAGATGGATTCCTTTTACTGCTTGGCCTCAGGATCTACATGGAGAGCCCATCTTAAAATTGAAACGTACCGTTGACTTAATACCCAGGACCCTGGCGCATCTGCGGATGTCGAATTCTGTCCTGTATCCTTTCCGTTTTTTTCCAGTTTACCCAATGTTTCTTTTTTCTGTCTTTCCACGTTTACTTGGAGCATTATGCACGCTTTTCACTTTCAGAAATCCTCGTGCAGAGCCGTCTCTCTTTATGAAAACTTTCCCCCAACAGAACCTTTTCGGTTTCCAGCACCTCCTTGCAAGAGTTGCTGAGCAGAGAAGCAGCACAGCCTGCGCTGAGGCGTGGACGCTAAGCCGTTAGCGAAGCTCGCTCTCCACAGTTAAGTGGCTCGCTCTCGCCCAAGCATGGCGCTCGCACTGACCCCGCTCTGAGCCTCTTCGGAAGGACAAATGGTCCCCTGTCACGGGCTTAGGGGGATGTTCACAAATAGTGAAACTAGGAACATTCTAGCTGCAAGCGCCGAGCATCCCACATGCCACTCCTGACGCCGCCTGTGGAAGGAAGATGCTTCCTTCTTGAAGCTTCTAAGCCGCTTACTGCTCCGTGTGACCTGCAGCACTGGGCTGTGTGCTCAGAGGTGAGGCTTTTGCCTGGGATGTTGTCCACGAGCGCACTTGTCCCCAGGAGCCATCTGATGCTTCTTCCCCCAGGTTTGGGAAGCTAGGATATTTCGACCTGCCAGCTGTGGTCTGAGTGGATGGAGGAGGGAGGGTGGTTGTGATGGTTTTGACACCTGTGGAAGCTCCCAGATGCTCTGCTTAGCCTGCTACCCTCCTCCAGGGCCCTGCCACGTATGTGCATGTCTCTGGCCTCCCCACTACTTGGGTCCCCCCACACACAACCCCTTGCCCACCCCACCCTCATTCTCAATCTCCACTCCCCTTTCTCTTTCGAGAGGATCCCCATGTGTTGTTGAAAACATACCTTTGATTTTAGCCCTCAGGTAGATTGACGTTAAAGAACTTGAATAAGGTTGAAAATGTAGCTGTTGCCACCCAGAGCTGATCAAGCCATCTTTCCACATCTCCCACATCCGTCTGGGGACATCTGATGTCTGTCCGCATGTGTTTGTGCCGCCGACTTTAACCATCCTCTCAGCCCTGCCTGTAACAGGAACTTCCTTTCAAGATAAATTTAAACAGAAAGTCCACGATGCTATTCAAATCTCATCCAGAATTGCATCTATTTTTGAGAAGTTTTTTCTTAGCTCTGTTTAGTGATCTTTTCATGATGCCAAACGGCTGTCAGAAATCATATGGCAGGCAGAGCGTCCCACAGACGTACCAGTCAGTTGCCTTTAAGTCACCCTGTTGTTAATCCTCCAGAGTTTTAAGGGTTTTGTTGAGCTGGGAGGATGGGGGAGATGTCTCGGCACCTTTGGTCCAGGCAAATCGGACCTGGAAAGACATTTATGAGCGTGTGAGGCCCAGGTCAGTGCTGAGGCTTCCACTTCTAATCTCGCCGTGGGGTTGGCTCCAGTTCCCTCCCTCGACCCCAGTAAATCAATAGCATGTGAATTAGAGCAGAAGTCAACAGACAGTGAGCTGATGGGGGCTCCTCCCTCTGCCTTGTGAGGACACCCCTGTCCCAGGGGCCTGGACGCACCCCCTTTCCTGCCGTGTCTCGATTTTCAGTTTCTGGTTTGACAGAACCTTTGACTGAGCAGGGAAAGGGCTTTTGGAGTAGACCAGGGAACAATCTAGAACGTTCACATTTTTCTTCTCTTAACTACCTCTTTTATCCACCCACCCATCACTGGCTGTCTGTCACCTGTGCAGATATTTCTCGTAAAAAGCATCTCAAGCAATTAGCAAGTAAGTAGATAGTGTCCGTGATGGGGTTGGGACGCTGATGTGCTTGGAGTGTATTTAGTGTAATTTGCTTGGGACACAAAGGAACATACACAGCACTGAAATCACGGGGCTGGGCCCAGCAGCTTCTTGGGTGACAACCTCTAAATGAAAGACCATAACATTTAGTTAAATAAGCACCATTAAGTTGAGAAGGTGAGTGTTAATGAGGTTTTATCTCCTTGATGTTAACTCCTGGGACACAGACATTCCTTTGACCATTTTCATAAACATAGTTGGGAACAAAATACACTGGCCATTTTGAATTTATTTGACACAATCGTGTTTTTCATGAACTGTGAATAACTTTTATACTGCGGAGTTGATACGTGTGTGCACGCACTTTAAAAGCCTCAAAACACAAAAGCCTTGCTGTTCACTGGACAGCTGACATCTGCTGCTCATTTCCGAGTGATTAACTCATCCACGGTGACTTCTCACCCCCCTGGAGAAACCAGACGGCGTCACGGCTACCAAGACGGCAGTGGTCCTCCCAGATTCTAGGAAACAACTCTCCAGTCAATGCTAGATATTCTGCATATTCCAGAAGGGGTTTCCAAAAAGGTCTTCTGACACTTGTGTCCCTAGACAGCCATTAGAAGCAACTAAAAATATCCGGCAGGACCTCCACCTGTCACGCCATCATCTCTGCTGTTCCTGAGATCCCACAGATGGATGCACAGCAGTAGTTCTGCACAGAGCTGCCAGACGGGGCAGCCAGACGAGGCGGGGAGAGGAGCCGTGCTGTCCCGGGTCTTGGGGACAGGTGCTCCTCTCCGAGCCCCCAGCTCTCAGGGAGCCATTCGCCGACAGCTCTGCAGGGTGGTTCCTCGGCCAGGGAGAGGCAGCTGCAGGCAGAAGGCCCACCCTCACCATCCATGGCTTCTGCATCTCCTTTTTGGTTAGTGAGCATTCTTTTTTGTACACGCCCTTCCTTCTTAGGCTAGAGGTCACTTGTCCCTGCTGGGTCTTTTTTCTCTTCCCACCTCAAGGCCTGGAAACCAAATGGACTTCGTCCAGCTCTTCCTTTGGGGTCACTGTGTTTTTGAACCTGATTATTTTGAAAAGAGAAAGGAAAGCGAAATTGAATCAGGGCCTTCATCTTGCTGTCTCCCAAACTGTTTGATTTACAACCCGAACACGGAGCTGGCAGATTCCCTCTGCTTGTTCCAAGTCAACAAATGAACCCGGAGCCTGCAGTGAGCATTCCTCCCTCAGAACGGTGGTGTGCTCTGGAGCTCTGAAGGGCAACCGCTTTACCCTGAACGTCCTGTGGGGAGAAACACGTGCTGTTTCCTATTCTAATGCTAATCATCTATCTTTGGGAGTTGGAAGTCATATCAACTGCTTCCAACTGCCTGTTAATAATTTTCACACTCAGCCTACTTGGCTTTTTTCTAAGAGATCCGCTCTCTCTACCTTCATGAATTTGAAGGAATAGTCGACTCAAGTCCAGTGAGGCTCCAGGTACCATGCTAGGTCTTTTTGAATAGGATAGACACATAACCCAATCCCCCTCTGCTTTTCCCTCCCCACATTTGGAGCCAGTCAAGTCAGGCAGTTGTATTACTGATAAAATATGTCAGAGAATGTGTTTTCAGTCTGTTGGCCACCACGTCCCTAGGTTAGATACATTTTCCCTGCCATGCACAGTGTGACTGCTGAACACCTACAGGCTGGCCCCTCAAACACAGGCTTGGAATGTGTACTGGACTGTCACTGCGGAGGGAGGATGGAGGATGGAGGAAGGAGGAAGGGGCCAGGCTGAGTGAGTTCAGCTCCTCCCCAACTTGACAATCAGGTACCACTTTGCCTCCCACCTGGGGTGGAGTGTGTGAAGGCATGAAGAGGCTGGAATGTGACTCTGTGTCACCAATGGGGAATAAGGCTTTGTCCACATCCAGGTGCCCCTAACTCAGAAGAGCCAGGATTTCCACCCAAGGCTCTGGGTCCCAGGTCCGGGGTTCATTTCCCCATACCCATCCTGCTGTTCTGACAGGCAACAGCAGGAGTTCTTTAGCAAGAGATAAAATTCTACACAAACTTTGAAAGTATTCCATACTTTCAAAATAGAGAGAAATAGATCCATATACCTTTTAGAACACAATTTCTGACTTATCAACTTGATCTGATTTATTGGTTTATAAGAAGTATGTGAACATTTTCAAATCATATGCCTCTGACTGGAAAGAGTTCAGAGCCACTGGTTGGAAAAAGTTAGGTGGATAGCTCTTTGTTTCTTGATCTATTGTATGGGCTACGGGAAGTCCCATGGTTACTAGAGTGATGACACCTTTTGTCAGATGGAACAAAACATTGAACAAATTTTTTTTCAGTAGTGGGATTGGATTTCCACCCATCCGAGGTCATAATTAATCTGGATTTGTGACATGGGTCTCAGCAGGTAGAATTCACCATTGAAAGTCCAAAGCTAAGACAACTGGTGAGGTCCACACACAGACAGAACGTTCCACCTTGGGCTACTGACATCATCCTGTGGGTAAACAGAAAGCAGTGAGCTCTTGATTGTTGTCTAATGCAGCTCATTTCAGCTCAGCCACATAATACTCAACAGTGAAAAGTCGAAAGCCTTCTCACTAAAATCTAGAACAAGACAAGGATGCCCACTCTCACCACTTCTAGTCAACATAGTATTGACAGTCCTAGCCATAGAAATCAGGCAAGAAAAAGAAATAAAAGGGATCCAAATTGGAAGAAAAGAGGTAAAATTGTCACTATATACAGATGACATGATACTTATATAGAATCCCATGAATTGGACAACATCACCTTAAATCCATGGGCACTCTTAAATAGAACAGGGAAACTGAGTCATGAATGATGCTAGAGATTTGGGCTCTCAGCCTAGCTGCAAAGAGGCTGGAGGGCATCTTGAGGGCCAGCCCATCACTCCCCACCAATACCCAGGATTTCAAACACACACCTTTGGTTCTTGAAACTAGTCCTCACATCTTTGGCTCATAACTCATATGGTCCTTCACTTGGAGGCCCTACCTTCTCCCCATCCTGTAGTGGCATCTCATTCCCTTCAAGTGGGTCTTTTGTGATTGCACAGCTCTCCCTGGCCACTATCTTCTCAGAGTTTCTGCAAAACCTGTGTCCCATATAGCAATCCAGCACACCTTCTCTCTAAATTCATGGTAAATTTATTGAAAGCAACAATTATGATTCTTATCCATTGCAGAATTTTTGAGCAAGAAGGAATCTTAAAGTCAAGACTAAAGGACAAATGTAGAAATGCTATGGAAATGTAAAGACCAAAACAAGGTCACATAAAAAGGGTGACAAATAAAGCAGACGGTTCCCACAGATCAGGGTCACAAAATGTGCTCTTTTTGTAGTGAACCATGTTGGTTAAACCTCACTCTTCATTTTACAATGTGAGGGAATCACTCTTGAACACCACGTATATGGGCCATCCCCAGAAGACAGTCCTCCTCTGAAACAGTGAACGTGTAAAAACTGAACTGGAGCTCATGAAGAGACCAGAAGATTTTTTAAAAGTTATACAACTACAAGAAAAGACACCAGTGGTGGCAGAATGACTGTTGGCATCTTAGAATCAGGGTTCTCGACGCCGCCAGGCCTAATAGCAAGATTGTTCCTTGATTTTTGTGGGAAGGATAGGGAGACAAACTAATCTGAAACCTGTATGAAAGTGGAAAACAGAACGAACACGGTTCAGGTAACTATAATGATTTCCAGAGTGCAGATAATTGCTATATTTGACATTGTTAATTTAACTCACCCTCCCACCTCACGAACGATAGACACTTCCAGAGTCTTTAAATCTTCATTGCTCATTTGCATGTTTTCTTTCTTATGGTTTAAATGCCCGTATTTCTGTTCTGATTCATGACTGACCAGTGTTAGGGCTGATAGGTGAAAGTTTCATTTCATCCCCATGTACAATCACGGAT